CGATGGGTGCCCGCGGGGACGTGCCCGGGAGCAGGGTGGTTCACGGGGGCTGAGTGCTGCCAGCCCTGCCGTGGATAAGCGCCCATCTGCTGCCGTGTTGCTCCGTGCCGTCCAAAACCCTGCTCCAGCTCCCATCCTGTGGTCCCGTCCCATCCACGCCCTTGGCTCAGCACAGGCTGGAATCTGCATTCCCAGGGTCAAAGCCAGCGGTTGCGATGGGGGGATTTCCCACTCTGGAGCAGCAGTCCCTTCGTTCCAGTTCCTGCAGGCCAGAGCCGAGGGCTGCGCCACACGCGGATCCACATCCTTCCTTTCCCAAGAGCCATTCCCAGGGGTCGGAACAGGCTGCAACTGGATCTGGGCTCCTCGTGCGGCATGGCCCAGCCAACTGGCGGCGAAGGGAAAACTGGTCTGGGACATGGCTTCACTTATTTCTAAGAAATCAAGAACTGGCTCCTGTTCAGCTTGTGCAATTACAGAGTGAGCAATACATCTTCCCTGTGCTTTTCAACCAGGCGAGCGCTGGTTTTCTCCCAGCTCATAGTGGAGTTTGTGTGGTGCCGCTCCGAAACCCAGCAACAAATTACACCTGCGAGGGCAGGCACGGCCTGGGGACTCGCTCTGTCGGCTGCATCTGCCGCTGCCAGTGCTCAGCCGGAGTAAAAGCATAAAAACTGGGAAGTGGTGATTCTCAGTGTGGACATCACCATTAGCAGCGCCCCCAGATGTTGTAAAAGCCAGGAGAAAGGGGTCTATGCCCCCCCCCCCCCCAAGGGGTTAATGCAGCTTTAGAAACTTCCACTTTAATCATGACTGTCATATTTGCAGAGCAGCAGAGCTCTCCACCCCAGGCACGGGTGGGGGATAAGACAAAACAGGCATTAAAAATGTTACTCAGCATTTGGCCGCCAAAGTTTTGAGGATTTTCGAGTTGCTCCCAGCCATGCTGGGCAGGACCTGCTGTGCTGAATTGGGTTGATCTCAGCCACCGAAAATGAGCTGGGCTGAAGCCTTGCAAGCCTTTAGCTGCTTCCAAAGGCTAACTGGAATTGTCTGTCTCCCTCCCCAAGGGAAGAGGACCGTGGTTTATTTTATGCGCACAACCATTTGCTGCCACAAGCAAACATGAATCATAGCAAATGCTGTAAAAGGAGCTTGACAGCAACAGGAGAGGGAAAGAAGGAAGGAAGGCACGTCACAGCGTGAGTTAACGGGTGACACCAGCTTGGGGAAGGTGCCTGGTGTCCCTGCTGCGATGCATGGTGACATTAGAGGTGATGGGGCTCTCAAGAGGGGCTGGAGCTTTGGCTGGGCTGAGGCAGCTTCATCCCGTGCTTGGCACCTTCCTCCCGCCTGTCGGCACACACCCCTCAGCTCGTGACTCAGCCTTCGCCCACGGGATGAGAATCTCTGCAAACCTCCCTCCCGTGTCAGCTGCACGAGATGTCCAGGGCTACCCCTCATTGCCTCCATGTGGGGTGGGAAGCACCCCTCTGGCCTCTTTGAGACCCCAGCGCCCGGAGAGGGTCTCTCCTCTCTCCTGGGATCTCCAGGTGCAGGGGCTGTGGGACCACGGCCAAGGATTTTCCATTCAGGAACGCTCCTGGGTGCCTAAACCCAACTAAAACCCAGGCCAGGCTCTGTGCAGGAAAGTTCTCCAACTCTTCAGCCCCACCTAGAGTCTGTCCTGGCTTAAGCCAGTCCCAACACCCAGCCCAGCTCAAGAAGGGGTTTCTCCTTCCCTGACCCCACTGCTGGGACCTGGTGGCTTCTCCCCACTGACCCTGGAGCCATGCAAGTGTCCCTGGAAAGCCAGAGGGAGGGGGATGCAGCAGGTGAAAAGGCAAATCGGCAGCTGTACCCTGAGTCAGTATGGGGACAAGACAGGGCAACATGGAGCCTTGCACAAGTGCATGCTCCCATCTGGAGGAATAAGTTCTGTCCCTGCCGGAATTGCAAGTTGCATATGTACGAGGATTAAGGTGCTGATCGAGGGCCACCCTACAATGGAGCAGGAGCCCTGACGTGCTCTTAGCCCACGTGCCGGAATTCTCCTGCGTGTCTCCATGAAAATAAAATGGTGCCTGGATGTTTGCCTCTCGTTGGGGTAGGACCTGCACCCCTGGGAAGCACTGCGGGATCCTCCGACAGAAAAGATCACTGCCCAAAAAGCATTTATACTTCCTAGGGCTCTCTCACATCACCTCATGCAGAAGAGTCCAGGGCCTTCCTTGCCTTGCCTTTGCCCATTAAACCCCTCTCTTTTCCTCTCTTTCTGCTCACTAAGATGATTACACAATGTACATTTAATGGTCCTGCCACGCAGTCCAAACATCCTTCTTTCACCTTTTTTCTTGTCTTATGGTGCAGCACCCTGGTGCCAGTGCTCACCACCCTGCCAGAAAACTGCAGATAAACTCACAGCTCAGGGGAGAGCAGAAGGGAGAGCTCTTATCTGTGCCTGGCTTCCCTCCTCTGCACTGCCTTGTTACCATGACAAAACCTGCATTTTTAAACACCCCACAGACACAGTTGATCTCATCGGGAAGCAACAAGAAGGGAGCAGTCACAGGGACCTTTGGATGATGGCACATTTTCAGCAGCCTCTCGCTAGCTGACATCAGGAAGGTCCTCACGCTGCCATTGGGGGCAGCAGGACAGAGCAGGACCCAGCGGGACCCAATGGAAGCAATTTTGGCTGCAGAACAGCACTTCTCTGCAGCCCACAGCCTTCGCTCCCTTAAAACACTCCTGTGATCACGCACCCGTGACCCGCTCACAAAGCAGAAAAGGAATCTGCGTATGGACAGAGACAGTAAGATCCCAGCCCACAAGTTCTGGCGAGGTTTCTCTGCTCCTGAGGGAGCCCAGTTCAACTCTCTCCATCAGAAACCATCAGCTCCAAGCCATGGGGGCGCAGGGTGCTGGTGAGGCTGAGCAGTTCGTGCAATTCCCCCAGCCCCTGACCGAGTGCTCTTCTCCAGATGGCTCCAGGGGCTCCTATTGTACGCAATCCCCACAGCAAAATCCAAACATGCTCACAGCAGCTCGTGGCTTCCCTACAGACATTCACTGCAGGGATAATGGGGAATAAAACTCACCCTGTAACCTTACAGCTAATGCGGCCGCCATCCAAACACTGCAGTGACCAAGTGCTCGGGGCCTTCTCTGCTGGAGTTCAGGGCAAGGGCTTCTCCCACGTCCTTAATTGTAATTGGGACACTCAGCAGAGTTGCAGCTGCAAAGGGGCGATCCTTAGGCACAGCAGGGAAGAGCCACTGCCAAAAGACAGAAACTCCAGAGTAATGCAGGTGTTTGGAGCATATGGCAAGGTACAGTCAGCCAGAAACAGAGAATATGTCCCTCCAGTGCAGACCAGAGACAAGAACACCTCCAGGAAGCAGCTCACATCCTCGTTCCATCGCTCCAGTTTCCTCCTGCAACCTCTAAATTTGCCAGCTAGGGCTGGCCCGACTTTCTGGGTTGCGCTTGGCCACTGACAGAATTAAATACCATCAGCATGAGTGAAGTCCTACGGCTGTCTCCGGGGCTGGGCGGCACGTAGCACTGTGTCACAAGGCCATCAGAGGCAGGGAAAGGGGGAGAAGATGCCACAGAGCCATGACTGTAACACTACTGTTTGAGGATTAAAGACATGCACTTTCATCAGAAAAGACAGAGTTAATGAGCGGACGGACAGCTGGGATGTCCTGTATCCCTCAGCTCTGGATCGTTTCATCCCAACCACACAAAGAATTCAAGCAGCTTGTCCTCCTGCAGTAGATCTAAGCAACGTGCCAGCTGGGCATGCAGTCCCAGCATCAGGAAACTGAAAACAAATATTTACTGAACTACTAAGTGCTCTTTCCACACTTGCAAACAGACACTTCTATTTGCACTTCCCTGTGCAAACAGAACAAAAGCCACAACCCTTTTGTGCCCCGAGTTTATAGGCAGCCTCCTGGAAACCAGCAGCAGAGAAACCCTCCGCAAAGGTGAGAAGAGGGTGTCCAAGAGGGACAACCCGGCTTGGGTTGGCCAGCACTCTCCAGGGCAGAGGTCCCCCCAGAGGGGATGCCTGCAGCCCAAGGGGGTCACAACCCAACGCCCCGGAGCAGAGAACCACACCCCCATGCCCCAGCCTTACCAGGGATGAGCTGGTAGCGGCGGTGCAGGAAGGTCTGGTAGGCTGTGTAGTCACGGTAGATGGTGTTGAACCCTGCGCTGTGGCCTTCCACCCAGTGTGTGGTGGCGCGTCCGCGAGCATACACCTCCAGCGCCCAGAGCTGCAGCGTGCCACGTAGCTCCAGCTGCACCCGTCCGCGCAGCAGCCCCCCCCTGCCGTAGGCGCCCCACACTCGCCCGTGCTCCAGCTCCACCACCAACCTCCGCACACGCCCTGGGAGCTTCATCGTTTGCTGGCCGTACTTAGCCGGCAGCTCCAGGAGGCTGGTCCCCACCTGGGCTGAGGCGAGCGGGTCAGGCAGCTGTGCAGCCCTCCAGGGAAGGGAGGAAAAAGCAAAGGCTACACCAAAATCCCCTAATTTATCCCTGCCCTTTACTGGCCCAGCCCTGCAGGCCTAATCTTCCCCAGGGTTGGACTGAGACCCTGTTTTGCAGTGACGTTTTAGCATTGACCTCACGTGCGTGAGGCTGATGCTGTGCCAAGGATGGGGCCGTGGAGACAAGTGACGTGACTTCATCTTATCTCTGAGTCACAGCCACTGTTGACGTGCAACTGGTACATGCTGGTGGTTCTGCCGGCAGGGAGGGGTGTCATGCACCACCAACCGTGCTGGCAGATTGCACGTAGCTGGGGGAATCGAGGAAAGGCAGTTTGGCCTAGCAAAGACCCTTACCCCAAAAGCCAATTTTACTTTCTGTGTCTGAAGTTGCATCAAAATCCCTATGAAAAAGAAAGTGAATAACCACAGGGTCCTCCCAGCAACAGCTCCCCAGCCAGCTGGTTCCACCAAAAGGGTGACGTCCACCATTTATCCCCAGTGAACCGTGGCTGTTTCTGCGGTAGCACAGGTGGCAATGTCACCTCAGGGTCACATAAAAGTAATGGGGCAGACTGGTAGCAGATACAAGCCCCTGTTCCTACACCAAGTGATGCCATTTAGGTGTTTGAATCGAGGTGTTTGCGATGTACCGGCGTATGATGCCAATGTGAGGTGCCTGTGTGCATTTGCAAGACCTGAGTATGCAGCTTCTTTGAAGCATGTGTGGAACAAAGATGGGGGATGCAGAGTCAAACCCCAAGAGGAAAGCACAGGGGGTTTTCCGTGGGCCACTGCTCGCACACAAGCTGCGGCAATGGGGAGTGGTTTAGTAACCCCTGCGTGAATGCCCGTCTGCATCTAAAGGCTGAGGAGAGCTGGTGGAGCAGCGGCTGTGAGAAGGCAGCAGCTGAGCCTGCTCACTCGGCCTCCCAAGGGAGAGGGCTGACCCGCCCACACTGATCTCTCTTTAAAATACTTACATCCCAAACAGAGTTAGTGCAAGCTCAGCATTCAGGAAACCCACGTGAGTTACAAACTCAAGAAAAATACATGGCTCACCCCTAGGAAAACAACCCACTCATAAGCTGGGGAGGGCTACCTCTCTGCCCTACTGTTCACTGACCTTTGGTTTCAGGCCTTGACACCAAAATCCAAACACAAAATAAGAGAATATTCCAGCCCACGCACAGTCCTGTCAGCGTGCTTTGCTTCTGATCTATTGCCCTTTCTCTGAGCTTCCCCCTATCCACCTGCTTCCTCCTGCCCCAGCGCCTGCCTAGAGGCACTCAGTGGGTCTTGCAATCCAGAGACGTGTGTCACCCACGTCTTCGGGCTAATCTCCCGGTGTTTATTCTTGCTGTCACAACACCTTCTTCAACACCTCGTTCGACTAATGAAATAAATGTTCCCTGTAATAACACACAGACAGACCGAGAGCAGGATAGCTAACAGGTAACATGACATGTAGGCAGTCCACAGTGCAGCAGGTTCTGGGCAGAAGAAGGGAGAACATCATGGTGCAAAGAGCACCTTCCTCTGGGGACAGTATTCTTTCAGGGTCCCCAGCGGGACATGGCTCACTCGGGAGTTTGCCTTTCGGATTTCTGCTGGGCCTCTGGGCTTGGGTGTGAACTCATCTTTCTGTTCAGTCCTGAAGAGGTCCTGTGCCCACCAGGGTAGCCACAGGTGCGAGCATTTGATCTGAGGAGAGAGAAAAGCTTTCAGCACGTGGAGACGGGGCTGGGGAAGAGACAGGAACCTGGCAGCCCCTATGTCTGAGCCCTGTGTTGCTGCCTGCAGGGTCACCCCCCTGGGCAGCTGCAGTCTGTGCCTGCCTGCATCCTCTCTGGCAGTGCAAAGAGACGCTTACCCTAGCTGGATGCCTCTAGCCATGCCAATTTTCCTCCTCTGATCCTCTGTGGGGGACCAGAATCACCCCTTCCCCCTCCCTCCAACGTTCCTCAGCTTAAGGACTTGGCTGCCTATCCTTCTCCCTTCAAAGATTTTTCTCAGCTACAAGTCTGCTCCCCACAGAACATTTACTTGAGACTGGAGGCAGACAGGATTTGACACACGGCCGTCCCATCTCAAGTGGCTCAGGAGGACGCACCAAATCTGTTGATGTTAGTGGGGAGGCTACAGTTTCGCTTGGTATAATCCTGCTTCCCCAAGCCACCCCGTGTTAAATCCAAGCCTATTAAGGCTGTACCTGCTGTAGCACGTCTTCAGAGAGTCGTTTCTGCTGTCTGTGTGGGACCAGCATGGCCTTCATGGTTGTGACAGAACTTTCATCTGCTGACAGATGGAGTTGAAATAAGAAGTAAATTCAAGCCAGTAAATTAGGAGGCAATATCAGAAAAGCTTTGCAGTTTGACTTGCAGTCACAGATCTGTGTGCATTTCCATTAACGGGAGGAAAAGACAGGCTTTGCTGTCAGCACTTTGCTGAAAACCTTTGCCCAGACAGAAAACAATTCTCGGGGTGAGGAGATAAATGAAGAAATTCACATGGAAATTACAGGAATATCACTCCATGTGCTAGTTATGGAGCTGCTCCACAAGTCTGGGGCCAAGGAGAAGATCAATTCAACTGTGATCTGTTCCACATTTAGTAAAACAAATGGCTTAAAAACAGATACATGGTATGAAGGGAGCACTGGCCATCAGACACAGGAGGCAATGTCAGAGGAGGATTTTGTTAATGCCTTCCATGATCAGCTCTAACCGCATCCCTTCCTGGGATTGCATAAGCACAGCTTTTGATCAAAATCGTCTCCTTCCTCCTGAATACAAATGAAAAACAACTTCTAAAAACAAATGTAGCAAGGGAGAAAGATCAAGCCACTGGTTTATGTTCCGGAAATAATTTATGTCATCTGAACATGCTAAACATCACTGTATGATGGCAATGAATGCCTATGGCTGGCACAGGCACCAAGGTGGCTGATAAGGGAGATGTCGTTTGGGGAGGTGGAAGAGATCAGCAGTTGCTGCGAGAACCAGCAGCAGCAGGCATGGGGCCAAGCACGGCTGTTCTGTCTGGTTTCGGGGTAATGGTCTCCTTTTACTAAAGACATGATGCTGCACCAGTGCCTTCCTGCCATCTCCAGCCCAAGGGCTGCCTCCTTTCCCAGAGCACCAGGCATCGCTGTCCCCTGCACTTGGCCTTTCTGAACCTCGTGAGGCTCGCACGGGCCCACCTCTCCAGCTTGTCTGGGTCTCTTTGGATAACATCCCATCCTTCTGGCACGTCGACCGCACCGCTCAGCTTCGTGTCATCTGCAAATGTGCTGAGGATGTGCTCAATCTCTCTATGTCATTGATGAATGTATTAAAAAGCACCAGTCCGGACCCCTGAGTGACACGGCTCGCCTCGGGTCTCCATCTGGACAGGGAGATGTCGGTCGCTGCCGTATGGAAGCGACCATCTAACCAATTCCTTATCCACCACACAAGTCCACCCCTCAAATCTGTATTTTTCCAGTTCAGAGAGAAGGATGGTGTGGGGGACGGTGTCACAGCCTTAACAGAGGTTCGGACAGATGATGTGCGTTGGTTTTCCCTTGTCCCCTGACACTGTCACTCCACGTCATAGGAAGTCCCTAGCTGGGGCAGGCAGGCCTTGCCCTGGGCGAAGCCGCGCAGTTTCTCTTCTACACACTCGCGTGTCTTTTTCCTTCCCCGCTGCCCGGCGGCCGTGCCGAGTTTGCCAGCGCGTGCCGGCAGCGCTAAGTTTTTGCGGACTTGGCTGCCGGGCAGCCGCCTGGCTCTGGGCGCGTGCGGTGCGGCGCAGTCGTTGCTACTCCCGGGGCGCGGCACGAGGCGTGGTTTTGTTGCCGGTTTCGTGTGGTTTTCTGCGGGATTGCGGCTGCAGCCGGGCCCCGGCG